CAGATAAAGATTTCCCCACATAGCGGCCTCTTGAACAAAATCAAGGATGAAAAGATTATCAGATAGCTAGCATGATCTAGAATATTTACATAATCACCATATTTCTCATTTTCCATACCGTTAAAAATAAATAAATAAATAAATACATACATAAAATAAAAATAAAAATAAAATAATAATAATAATAATAATAATAATAATAATAATAATAATAATAATAAAACAGAAGCCCAAACAAGTCCAAATATGATTATTTTTCATTTATATAAATGTGAAGTGGTAGCTTGCTAGACCCAGACTAATCTTTGCAAAACAGTAATAACATAAAAATATTGTTGAGTGAACTGAAATACTAATTCTTTCATTCTTTCCCTCAGCTTCTATCTCTTTCCTTCTTCATTAAAGTTTTGTTTTGCTTATTCATTATAAATGCTTTTTTTCTTTTTTTTTTCTTTTTTTTTTTTTTATGTTCATGACTTGGATTTACAGCAGCTAGATAAGTATCACTGTGTTTTTAGAAGATTTTACAGAACTGGAGGGTGGTAATAAGAAGTCTGAGTAAAGCCATGATAGTTTAGACACAAATGTTCACTGGTTCTCTGGGTTTGTATCACTCCAGATAATCTGAACTAAAGACCAAAAAAGTATTATCAAATGATTTGTCCAAAGCCCAATGGTTGGAGTTTGTCACTGATTGCCTGACAGATGCCAGAAGAACTAGAGGCATGGATACAGGGTTTATAAACAATTTACACTCAAAACTCTGTTTTTCACCTGGCTTTTTCCAAGGAGATTAACAAAAAGATGTTGACGTGACTAGAATCATAGAATCATAGAATCATTAAGGTTGGAAAAGACCTCCAAGATCATCTGGTCCAACCATCACCCCACCACCAAAGTCACCCACTAAACCATGTCCCTAAGCGCCAGGTTCAACCTTTCCTTAAACACCCCAAGGGATAGTGACTCCACCACCTCCCTGGGCAACCCATTCCAATGCTTGACTGGTCTTTCTGAGAAGAAATGTGTCCTAGTTTCCAACTTGAACCTCCCTTGGTGCAACTTGAGACCATTCCCTCTAGTACTAGCCCTATCACTAGTTACCTGTGGCTGACCCCCAGCTCCCCACAACTTCCTTTCAGGCAGTTGTAGAGAGCAATAATATCTCCCCTGAGCCTCCCCTTCTCCAGACTAAACAACCCCCCGTTCCTTCAGCTGCTCCTCATAGGACTTGTGTTCCAGGCCCCTCATCAGCTTTATAGCCCTTCTCTGGACATGCTCCAGGGCCTTGATGTCCCTCTTGTAGTGAGGGGCCCAATACACAGTACTCAAGGTGTGGCCTCACCAGAGCTGAGTACAGGGGGACAATATTCTGATAAGATGCAGAGATACAACACAGTGCAACCCAGTGCTGCACCAGGCACCAAAGCATTTTTATCTTCTCAACATCATTTTTATCTTTAGAATCATTTACATTGTAGGTGCCATCTGGTTCCTTTTGATATAAGCAGATTAAGCTGTACCAGTAAGTTAGCACTGGCAATTCAAATGCCAGCAAGATAACATATAGAGTAGTAACTGACAAATAGAGGCAGTATGCTAAGAATACAGCATGCACTGTATACTTGGCTCCGATAAAATTGAAAAAATACAGAAACATTCTCTTGACCATGTTCCTTCCATATGCATAAGTACACGCACATCACACTCACAAACTTTAACTAATTGATACATTTCACTTTGGTGAAACCTGTAAGAGGGTACACTTGTATGTAAGTGTACTTTGTGTCCTCCAGTCTCTCCACCTCATAATGAAAGAATGAAAATGTGGACTCAACATTTGACCTAAATACTGAAGGCCAGGCTTGTCCGCCCTTCTTGATCAAGGCTGTTTCTGACCTAAACTACTGTTGCTGGTATAATAATCTGGTTTGAAATATGATTGTGACTTCTTTAAGTGACAGAAAGACACACAAAGTTTAAGCTATACCTGACAAGCTGCTCTTTGGCCAAAGTATCTCCTTTTGCCAGAGCAGGGATATTCAGAAAATAATAGGTCGAAAAAAGTATGTTTTGCCAGTGTACGCATCTAATCTGAGTCTGGCCATTTGGGATTTGTTGAGAAAGAGACAGTCATCTCTAAAGGGAGGATTCATCCTGTCTTGGACATCTGTTTAAGATTGGAATTAAGTGCTCCCTGGTGGTCTTCTCTCAGTATCTCAGGTCCTCAGCCAGATATGTTTGATTAAATGCTTAAATTTGAAGAAGCTAAAAATAAGGGAAATATATTCTGTCCATAATAAAGACCAGGTCTTCAAGGTAGAGAGGGAGGTGCATGAATTGAATTATATTAGTGCAAATAAAGCAGAAGACCTGCCCTGAGTTAAACAGATAAAGCAGAAGACCTACTGTGAGTTAAAACAGTTTGAAAACCACAAATATTTCTCATTAAAAGTAGGTTGTGTGTACTGTAGGTGGCAGTAATAGACAACCTGGTCAGCCTTCATGCAGAGTCCTAGGTATCAGGGTTGTTTTGCTTATTCCTTTTATCCTCTTGTAACTATCTTTTTTAAAACAGAGGGAAAGAGCTATTGTGACTTCAGAAGCTATGGTAAGGTAAACCTAATATCATAGAATTATAGAATGGTCTGGGTTGGGAAGGACCTTAAAGACCATCTGATTCCAACTCCCCTGCCTTGGGCAGGGACACCTCCCATCATAGCAGGTTACTTAAAACTCCATCCAACCTTGCCTTGAACACCTCCAGGGATGGGGCATCCACAGCTTCCTAGGCAACCTGTTCCAGGACCTCACCACCCTAAGAGTAAAGAATTTCTTCCTAATATTTAATCTAAATCCCCCCTCTTTTAGTTTGAAGCCATTACCCCTTGACCTATTAATAAAGTCTCTGACAAAAAATACCCACCCTGGCTTTCCTGTAGGCCCCCTTTGTGTACTGGAAGGCCATTGTAAGGTCTCCCCAGAGCCTTCTCTTTTTCAGGCTGAACAACCCCAGCTCCCTCCGCTTGTCTTCATAGGAGAGGTACTCCAGCCACTTGATCATCTTTGGAGCCCTCCTCTGGGCTCATTCTGATACCTCCACATCCTTCTTTTGCTGGGTGCCCCAGAGCTGAATGAAGTACTTCAGGTGGGGTCTTATAAGAGCAGAGCAGAGGGGAAGAATCACCTCTCTTGACCTGCCAGCCACATGTCTTTTGATGGAGTGCAGGATATGATTGGCCTTCAGGGCTGCAAGAGCACATTGACAGCTCACAACAAGCTTCTTGTCAACCATATCTACATAGTCAACTAATGTTTAGGAAGGGACGTAAATGTATAGTAATACTTTTAGCTCTAAATCCTTATGTGCTATATGTATATGGCGGAAGTACACACTTGGAGTTGAAAGCATGATAATAGCTACTTGTGCTAGGGTGTTATGAATCAGACAGTAAAAGAAAAAAAAAAAAAAAGTGATTGAGATTCCAGTACCCTATGCATATACAAAGTGCAGAGAAAAAGAAATCTCTCTCTGTTCAATATATTGTTCAGTGACTCATCAGGTTGTGCCACATGAATACCAGAAGATGCAGTGTTGTGAAGGTAACCACTTCATTCACTGGAGCAAACCAGGCAAGATGAGTGAGATTTTTTAAATACTTAAATGTTCATCGCCAAACTAAAGATTGTACAGTTTTGATTTCAGATAATTATATTTCATTGTGTAAGTATTGCAAATTAATCCATGGTTGGATTAATAGGTCTGGGTTAGGTTTAGAATTATGTTCTTGTTTTAAGGAATTCTTATGTTTCTTTGTAGATGCATTGGTCAAATGTTTCCCATAAAGATCTAGATACTGATTTTGTTATTATTTTTCATTTCAAAATTTGCACTTTAGGATACCATGTAACTAATATTATAATTTTTGTATTTTATGTGGTCTGTCTCTGGAATTTGCCGTGTGTATGTGGGTAAACTGTGTGTATCAACCAAAACTGAGGTCTCTTGTAAGCAAAGCAATTTTGATTTAAAAGAATTATTCTATTTTTGGATAAAGTTACTTTAATCTAGAAGTTCTCTATTTTACTTTAAATACTTGTACTGGTTTTGGGCTTCAAGCACTGCAAACCAAAACTATATAAAATGCGTGTATATAAAATTTATTTTAAGGAACAATGTAATATTCACTATATGAAATCTGGATTCCAGATGTGTTCAGCTAATGTGTGGTACTTCTCCACCTCACTCAGCAAACATATGTTCTGATTCTTTCATTATACCAGTTCTATATCCTCACCAAAAAAGGAATTTGTAAATTCACAATACTTGTTTCCTAAATGACTTCTGTAATGACTTTTAGCTGAAGTAGTAATTCTTCCTGTCCTTTTTGTGGAAATGGGTCTGGACCATGACTGATGGGCTGAAGTGCCTTGTCTATGCACAGAGAAGGTGTCTGACCATCCAGGAGAAAAATAAGTATGCTGATTGTTGTTTTTCCCTTTGCACTCAAGTCAGAGAAGGAGTTGTCATTACAGGAGCAGACATTACTGAAACCTGATTCAGTACCTCCTATCTACCATTCATCTTCTCCCTGCTGATTTGCCTACTAACATTTACCGGGGGAAGAGCATTGATGTTCATAGGTAAGGTGACCCTTACCTTCTGTGAAAAACAAAACACAAAAAAGGAAAACAAACAAAAACACGACACTGTGTAAAGAAAGGTAATACTACTTAGTAAAGTTTTGTTTGTTTGTTTGTTTTTTCCCCTGAATTTATGAACCTGTTCTTATGGCAAAAACAGTCAATGAAAATATTTTCATTGCTCATGTTTTTCTAGCTTGGGCTCTTGAGATCCTCCTTGGAAAGAAAGGAGAAAGAGTGCAGTCTTCTCGTCTTCTCCACTGTAATGAGAGAGACATCTTGACGGAAAAAAAAAAAAAAAAAAAACAAAACAAAAAAAAAACAAACAAACAAACAAACATGTTCATCATATTCATTTGAATCAATACTATATCAATACTATGATATACTATCTAATTTAGAATCTAATTTAGAGTCACAGAATCATAGAATATCCTGAGTTGGAAGGGACCCATAAGGATCATTGAGTCCAACACTTTAGTTACTAAATGTTTCAAAAAATTTCACAAAATTTTTGTATTTTTCCCTACAGTAATACAAAAGTTGTTATATCAAGTGAAATTAAATATTGCCTTCAACCAAAATTGCTTTGAACATGAAGAAATTTTACCAGAAAAGAAAACAAGGATTTTTCATGTTGCTTCCTAGCCCTCCAGAAAATTAAGTTCATCATTAACTTAAGTCAATACACTTCCTTGTATTGCCCTCCTACAGATAAAGTCTACAGAAATATGTCTTCCTTGCAAGATCAAGGCCTTATATCCCTTCTTTTGTAGTCAAACAAACACTGTCTTAGCTATCAGTTCAAAGAGTCTGCCTCAGTTATGTACCTCAAAATGAATTTTCATGGATACTGCTTCATGGAATTAGAACAATTTCTTCAAAAATAGGGAAAAATAAATAGCAATAGTTAGACAGTTCTGAACTTGTAATTCTCTGAGTAATATTTATTCAAACAGTTATAATACATCAACAATATTGTTTTCTTTACCTTGTCAAAGATTTTCTGCTTTTGTTAACTACGAAGGATTAAGTCCATCACATTTAAAAACCTTATGTCATCTCACATGACTGTTTCTAGTTAATGTCTACTCGTACAATGTAGTACCTCAGAAAATTATTTTTGGAACTTTAAAGAACCCTTGTGAGCTTCTGCTGCTGTTTCCAGAAATGTGTGTTGTTTCCATCATTTCTTATATCTGCAATCAGACATTGAATAGTTGGCATGGAATTTGTATGAAGAACCCGTCCAAAGGCAGTAGTTTATTGGACATTATTTGGAAACTATTGCAGCATTATAGGAGAGAAATTCTGATTCTGTCTTGACCCAAGTGGACTCCAATATTCAATCATACTGTTTCGGCTGCTGTAATTTTACTGGGCTGAAGATCAGTAGTAGTTAGAGATAAATTACAAGGCAGTGTTTTTTGAGCTCATTTTAAGAGTTGCACAATGTAATAGACTATTTGTGTCAGACAAACTCCAATATCAACCTTTCTTAAGTCGGTCAGAATATCATCCAGCTAACAGAAAGTTAACTCTTGCATGTAAATAAAGAAGGTATATCACTCCTACAGGTCTTCTAATTCAAAATCCTTCAAATGTCCCTTTTGGTGAATGTTGTCTCCATTCTCTTCTAGTATTCCCAGAACAACCTCTGAGTGCATTTCCATTTGCATTGAAATTTGTTTCTGTTGGATAAAAAAAAATTTGTTATGCACAACATCTGCATTGAATGGTACTACAAATTCTGCTTGAATTTTATTACAAGCTATTTGATTTATCTGCGGTTAGTACAGATTACTTCGTCTGTTATGATAACTGAGTTACAGAGATCTCTCCCTGTAATAGGTGATCATAAGCAAATTTGCTTCACTGTTCTGAGCCTTTATTTTGTTGCTTGTTGCCTTGAAGTATGATATAACTGTATACCTAGAGTTAATGTCAAAGTTACACTCTAGCTTTCAGTGGTTGTATTTATGTGTTGGTAAAACAGATTATCTCAGCACCATTCTTTGCAATCTTCTTTACTCTTACATTATGTCCAAAGCCAATGTCACTGCTATTTCAGGTGTCAGCACTATCTGAGGTACTGATCTGTTCCATATGTTTTATTCAATTTCTCTTTCCTAGATGTGCCATCAACACACAACTCAGCCACTTGTAGTAATCATCTAGACAACAATTACATAGATATGCTGAGGTCTTCCTGTCAAAAGTGTGTGTGGTGTTTTGTAATAGTTTGAGGACAGAGATGTCTTCTTTCTCATCTAGTAATATTTGATATATTTTTTGTGGTGGTCATTATTTGTTCTATTTTTTGTTTTATATAGTGAATACAAAAGATGTCTGAAGAGTGGTGCATGCAGTTCAATGTTTGGGGGAGATACAGAATATATGTTTGATGATAATTTTGTCTTTATATTCTGGTAGTCCATATGTGATAATCACAAGGGGTATTTTTAGTCAATTTGTACACCATTGCTCGTGAAAAGTGTGCCAAAGGATTTTTGCATAGAAGAAGTAGCAAATATGACACCTTTAGATCAAATTCAATAAAATAATTTTGGCCATAAATATCATAGAAATGACTTTGAATCTTGAGAATGAAAGACTTGGCTTGAGTACAGTTGTGGAGCTCTCTTGGGCTTCTCTTTTCTGAGAGTATAAAGTAGAGGAGCACAGATTGCTCTTGGAAGCCAGGCTGAGGCTTGTGGAATGAACTCCAGGTGTAAGTTTAAAACACATGCCATCAGTCTTGTCATTTCTGATATCATTAGGCATATAGACAACAATTTATTTATAAGTTTGCCTTCGAGAGAGGAGGTTAGTGGAAGGGAGGGTACAGGAGGGGAGGGGATGGGACAGGACGGGAGGGGAGGGGACTCACTTCCCTTGTCTTACAATCTAGTTGTGATTCATGAATTTAGATGGTCCACAATTTCTATCAGGGTTTGTAGTTATGCTTGTATATTTACATTTAAGTTAATTAATTAATTAATTAATTAAAATCAACAACAAAGGATTGAAAGGCACACTTTTTTTTTTTTTTTTCCCCTGGAAGGAGAGAAGGTGGCATAGAAGCTTACATTAGCAATTGTCAGTTACATTCCTGAATGCACTAATAGAAAACTTCAAGGTACTGTACAGCAATAGAGTTGAATAGGACAGAGTAAAATGAATGAAACAAATTAAATCAAAAAAAAAAAAAAAAGGCACTGAAACAAATGATTTGAATACACCGAATGGAGAAATTCCTCATAACAGTTTTCTATTTCAATGGTATGTTCCCAAAACACACTGTTAAGGCACACCTTTCCATCATGTGTTGCAGAAGAACCAGGTAAGAGACAATCTTACTGTGCTTCCTATAGCACAGTTTACTGTGTAGCTTCACCACAATTATAGAGATCTAGACTACTGTCTGACTAAAGCATTTTTCCTCTAACTCACACAATCACAGGCAGTAATAAAAAGACTTGAGTGTGCCAGCCAAGGAGCTGCATTAATTACAGTCACACAAATATTGGAAATACTTATTTTCTGTTTTGTCCAGTTGACTGAAAATTTTTAATCTCCTGTGAGATAAGCTAGCAACTGAACTTCCATTAGCATATCATCTTTTCCAGAGTAAATATCTCTGGACATGATTTATCTTGGCACACTTGACATAATATTCTCTTGAGGACTTTCTCCATTGTTTGTATGGAAATCATCGTCCTGTAACCTGCACAAGCACTTTGTGTTTGTTTGTTTGTTTGTTTGTTTGTTTTGGTGTTTTTTGTTTGTTTGTTTGTTTGTTTGTGTTTTTACTTCATTACAAGAACTCTGCATACCGTTTTCCCAGTTTTTCTTAATACTGACCTGCTGTTCCAAATGCAATGCCGTGCCACTCTGATTGCAAGTAATACCATGCGTGTCAGTGTAGTAAGAGAAAAAGTACAGATACACTCTACCTGGTGGTGAGTCTCATCTGCAGCTAACCAAGTTATGATATTATCTGTAGGATGTGGAACAGGCATGGTTATAACTTCCAGGCATCTATACCTACAAGAGAGTAATACAGACATGCAACTCTAAAATGTCTGCAGGAATTAAACAATACTTTGCAATAGGTGCACCTGCAATGGACACTGGATAACAATTTAACTGAGTAAGAAACTTAAACACAGAGAAGAGATAACCAGTCAAGTGGAGCATGGTCTGTGACCCACATTAAATAAATTATTAATCTAAGGAACACATCTAAATTGAGGTGGTTAGGAACTGCCTAATATCTTTCAGAGATTCTGAATTCTTTACACTGACTAGAAAGTGAACTTGAGTACTTTGGGGGAGATTGTTTCCATAGGTATCAAAAAATTATTAATGATTTAGACATTTAAATTAAACAGACATTAACCATTTCTAAAGCTATACTACATTTTGTTTGTTTGTTTCATTACTGACATTTTGCTCAGCATTTTTCCAGCTTTTCCTCTGCCTCACTGGTTTTAACTAGCTATAGCTTTAAAAGGACTTTATAGATATACACACACGTTTGACTTCCAAGAAAAGCAAGAGCTTATGGCATACTACTATGACAAGTACAAAAAAATACTCCTATTTTAATAATTTAAAATATTACCTGTAAAATATTATAATCAAAGAAAGAAACATAAGGGACAGGGACAGGCATTACATCAGAGATGTCTTTTAACTCATTTGAAGTCTAGCACAATTCAACTTGAGTGTGAGTGGTGTTTGCATAGAGTTCATGAACACGTTTTGTGCCATCACAAAGGATTATCTGTTGGTTTTCAATGCTATGTAAATTTATCACAGAAGAGATCTACCATCTGAATTACTCTTGAGACCAGAAGCAATCCTCATTATTTGACCAGAATATTTTTTTATGTTTAGATGCAGATGGCTCTCAATTACATGTTTTACTTGCACAAGGGGAAACGTTCGATATTGTATTTTAATGTTAAGTCTTTCATAGCCATAGTTTCTTGAGTTTTTGTTTATTAAAAGAAAGTAGAAGGTATGGTAACCTCTTTTATCCTAATCAGCATTTAATCAGCAGTTATTTTAGTAATTAATTAATTATTTTACTTTTAACACTGGTTCCATTTAAATATTACATGTTACAAATACTAAGGTATCTTGAGTTATCTTACTATCCTGAACTTTTTTTTTTTTTTCCTCCGAAAGCCTTCTCTGTTATGCCAATAGGAACAATGTGTAACTGAAAAGAAAAGTAGTGGTGTCAAGTCAGTTGTCTGCATTTATTAGTGATGGGTGGAGGGCCACTAAAGGTACAGCAATGAAAATTCCTTCTGTCAGAATGACTTTCACTTTTTTTTTTTTTTTTTGTAATCTGTTCAGTTTAGAGGAAAAGAATGTTGTAGGCAATACCCATAAATTATGAAATGAACTTGGGCAACACGGGAAATGCAATTCGTCTTTGGTGTGATTAGTGCTGGTGGCCTGAAAGCAGAACCCACAAGACCATGGGGCAAAATCACAGTGAGAGACATAAGTCAGACTAAGGTGGAAAAATGTCATCTATGGTGGCAGAGATATGGCTAAGATCTGGGTGTGAGACTGGAGCTCTAGGGACTGTGGTGGGATCTGTGAGATACTGCTCAGTAGTAGATGTAGTCTTACATCTAGCACACCTTTGTTAAAACAACAGCTGGTAATGCACAATTATCTGTTTCTTGTAAACAATAATTCATCTGAGAAGACTGGTGTTTGACTTTAATCCATTGAGTATGGTTTGCTGACCCTTACCTTCATCTCTCTTTTTCCCTGACCTCTCTCATACCAACAGTTTATATTACCTTCCAGAAATGTATATTACCTTCTACACGTACATATCAGCAAACCTCCAAGGAAAATTAGAAGGCAAAGCAATGTGAGGCTTAGCAGCATGATGTCCACTGTCTTTCCTTAGAAAGAAGAAAGATAATGTTAATAATGTGTGAAAGGCTATTTCATAAATGAATGAATTATATATTAATGACTCATAAATATTGCACCATTCCTGAACTGCTAAAGATTTAAACAAATATTTCACCAAGCTTTTTAGATGGAACAAGGGCTTCTGCATTCAGCATTGTTTTTTTCTCCTCCTTTTAGCCCTCAGCTTTTGCTGTTGTCTCAATCCCCATGTTCCTCTGCATAAATGGACTCCATCCCTTCCTTTCCCTGGATTTCTCTCACGCTGTGCATGGTTTGTCCTTTCACTGCATGTTTCAATTGAGCCCTGATTTCTCTGGATATCAGGCTCCATTTTTTCATCCGTCATTGACACTCCTGCTGCCCCAGCTGCTCCTGGATTCCTGCTGTTGCCACCTCCCATCTCCACACACCATAAGACTCATGCTGCTGCCTCCTCACCCCTTCACAGCTGTAACTGGTTTAAGGTAAAATGAAAATAAAAGCTTTTTGTCAAACAAAATATTCTCTCTGACTCAAGAAGCAACATTTGTTCTTCATTATACTTACCTTTTTAAACCGTGTTAGGCAAGTCCTAAAGAAATACAAGTAAACATTTTGAAATACATATTTATCCTGTTCAGAAAATACTGTGCTTTTTGGTTTTGTTTTTGTTTTTGTTTTTTTACTTTGCATTCACTCCTCTAAAATACCCCAAATACCAAAATACAGAAGTCTTTGATAGACTTAAAAATGCATTTTTTTTGGCAAATTTTATTTTTGTTTGATACCTAGCTTTAGAACCATGACTATTTTGGATTCCTTTGAACTAAGTACTTTGAAGAAAAACATGTAGGAACAGTTCTTAAAATGTTAGTGGTCCTAGGCCAGTTAAACAATGGTTTTAGGACCAATCTAGATCAAATTCAAAGAACAAAAGATTTGAATAAAAGTTCCTGGTTTGAATCCACCTGCAGTTAAAACCAAGGAAATGAATTTCCACAAATTTGATGTAAAACCATGAAAAAGCTCTCAAACCTCTGTATAGAACTAAGTATAAGAACAACCTTTATGTTCTACTAAAATACTAACCTATTCTTTATTCATTTTAAGCTGAAGACAAGAGTTTTCCCCTTGTCTTTTGAGCGCTCAGAAAATAAGTTTGGAACACTTTTTGGTCTGTGTAACATTAATTCTTTATTTTGAGGTGATTGTTCTGCAACATTTTGTTGCTAACCCTGTATCACGTACACACTCAAGAGAAGAGGAAGCAGTGGTCTTTATACAAACCAAACCACAAAGAGGTTCGGTCTTCTTGCTTTCTTAACTCATACATTTTGAAAAGGTGAAAGAAAAAGAAGCACTTATTCTTTGAGATAGACCTTTTAAAGTTTTGTTGTTGTTGTTATTTTTTTTTATCGATTGATTGATTTTGTTTTGCTATTTTGTTTTTTGTCTTTTTTTTTTTTCAAATGCAAATGTATAAATTTAGTCACATACAACAGTGGCTTGGCCTGCAAAATTCAGAACACCTCTGAATTACTATTAACTTCAAAGTGATCTATGAATGCTCAGAAGCTCTAAAAATTAGACCAATTATTTCAAGTTTCTATATATGAATAAAGCTGATCAAACATTTCTCTTTCAGCAGAAAGTTTCTATACTGAACAGTTCAGTTTAAATAGTTCTATTTTTCAAGGGCATATGCTAATTTTGATGGAAAATGAATGTGTTTCCCATGAGAAAACTAACTAATTCTTTTCATGTCAAACGAACATTTTAGAACAAATATTTTAGTTATGTCTTGAATTATGTTATTTCATTTTGATGTTTCAGCTTTTTTAAGTAGAGGATGAAATGCCTCTTAAAAATGCATTCTTAAAGAAATGTAACATAACTTCCAGATGAAACATCAGAATGTCATGTGGAAGTAAACAAAAAGCAGGTCAGTCCACATTGCTTCAAAACTTTCAGCAGAAAAAATGATACATTCCAAAATAAAATACTGAATGGACGTTTTTCCTTTCAAGTTACTACATGGGAAGTCTCAATATTTTAAAAATATCTGTGTCTGTGAAATTAAGTATGTGTCTTCCATGAAATTACCACAAATTATATTAATAAAAACATTTTTTTTTAATATAAATAAATAAAATCTAGGCAGCATTAATATGCACTACATAAAGTCTACTTATTATATGTATTCCCAATTAAAAGCAGCCAAAATCATCTCAACAGAATACAAAATAAAATGGACAGAAAACTCTTTCTAGGTATCAAAATAGATGCTTAAAGAAGTTTGCCTGAGCATGCAATCCTTCAGTGTAATATATTCCATAGATTTGTTTTACAAAAGTCACTAATCCTCTCTGAATACAGGAAGGAAGAAGAAAATAGGCATATTACATGAACTTGTGCATATGTGCAGTATGCGCCAGAGGTAAATCAACTTGCTGCACTGAACACATGGAGATATGACATATTATATGCAATTGCAGTCTTGTCTTCCACAAACTTTTCTGAAGGAAAGGAAACAAGCTGTGGTTGTTAAGCTCCAACAACAGCTGTAGAGGAAGTTGGGAAACCAGCGGTGTTGAAAAGTCAGACAGCTGCAGCTGCTGAAAGAAAGGTTTGGTAGGCTGGAATCAGGGTGGATAACTGCTCAACTCCATTTCCTTTTTCTAGTGAGGGGATGGCAGAGAATGAGTAAACCTACATTTCCCTACTAGGAACAGCCCTTCTAATTTTACCTCCCTCCACTGTCTGACTATCAGCCTGACATGAGGCACTAGGAAGACCTCTCTGCATGCTAATGTCCAAAGGTCACGCTCTCTTCAATGAGAAGGAAGAAGCATTTCCAAAAGGCAATTCAGGTTTCTGATGGGCTGAAATGTGTCCTCTCCTTCATCATAGTGAGCACATGAAGCTCCTCTCTCTGAGTATTTAAGAAGTGAAATGCTTCTGAAATGAGGTGAATGAATCTGGGCTGCAGAGATGGTAGCTGAGAGGTGCCAACAGAATAGTGGGATGTGGTAAGGCATTTGGTGGAGTAGACAGACTGCATCATATAAACCCTCTGAGTGAATTTACCTTCAATCCGTTGCAAAAATATTAATGTCTGGCCTTGTGTTTCCTGTCTCCTCAGATAAACATGTATTTGAAACTCAATGAATCAAAAAGACATATGGCAAAAATACAGTCTGATGCATTAAATATTTATCTTGAATAATTTTATTAACAATAGCATTCAACAGTTTTTCATGTTAACATGCAGAGACAAGTCTGTACATTCCTCTATGTAAATATTGAGTGTCACTCATTCTATTATCCAACTTCCCCTTTACCTAACCTGACATTATGAAGCTGCTGTACGTGGAGGCATTTTTCTAATCACGGAAAGCACAAGAGTCACTTGTTAGCATATGAACGTTAAAATCTTGTCATAGGAGGTCAAGGAAAAAACATGGTTCTTGTTTAATTTGTACTAAAGCAAACTGTGGGAGCCAGAGCACATATATTTGAATGTGAGCGTAACTACTTCCTATCTCTGTCAGATGAGAGATTATTCTCCTGATGCAGTAATAGAAATATGTTAAATTTAGTCCTTAAGGACTACATGATTTGATGAGCTTTATGACATTCATGTGTTTCTTGGCTTACTGTCTTCAGGTGAAAGCATTCATAAAGATGTCCATTGCAGAACAGGCAGGGGGATGTTGTGAACCATGCAGCTGCGGACCATTTTTGTTTTCTAAAGGCTGCCAAAAATCACACTGGGAGACCAGTCCTGTGCCATTAGATCTAACCTATTAGATCAAACGGTACATTTCCCAACAGCATGTAGAACTGTGTGACCTGGTGCATGGCATGGACTTGCACATACTGCTACAGTATAGTAATAATAATACAGTACAGCAAAGAGAACAGAAAGTAAATATGCTAAATTATACTAATATATAATGATAAGAGTTATGAATGATAAATTCATGATAACTTACCATCATGAATAATCACAGGTTCACTCCAGTCACTCCATATCTCGTTTCTTATGCATACCTCTTTCTTTGCCCTCACTTGTGCTGTATATTTTTTTGCTGGCCTATGAAGTGGATACTCATATTTCTCTGCAGCAACATTTACAATCTATCAAGACAGGTTTAAGGGGTTATTTTAGGTGATTTCACATTGCAATTGAAACAGATAAAAGTCTATGGATGTCAAATACTACTTAACTACAATGTCACTTACCTAATAAAAAGAGATTTTCAGAAAAAAAAAAAAGTGTATATATCTGACACAATCTGTCTTTTAGCTGGCATGTATTAAAACTCAACTCAGGTTTAAAAATTAGGAGGTTAAAACTAAAAAGATGGAAGGAAGTATCAGCCGTGTGAATGGTCAGAATCTGAAAGCACCTATTCCCTTTTTTTTTTTTTCTCACACCAAATATAGGATGAATACAGTAATAATGAATCCACAAGTTTCAAAGTTTTTGTAGTGGGTAGTGTGCAGTCTTTAGTTTTCTGCTAGAAAAAAAGCTTTCAGTTTTCAACTGTCTAATGGTGAGGGTTCTCCATTATTTTAGTGACTATTTTGAAACATCTTTAATTGTGTCTATAAATGAAAGCACATCACTTCAAAAGATTAAACATATGCAAGGTTCACCACAGTCTATAACAGAGGGTTCTCAAAATCATTTACCAACTTTGAAAACTGGAGCTAGGTGAAATAAACAAATAATGCTAAAAAATTAAGAAAGGAATAAAATAAATAAATTAAATTAAATTAAAAAAAAAAATAAAAAGACAAGAAGCTTCTGCTCAGAAAAAAAAAAAAATCAGCATTAATGCTAGGAATTTGCAAAGAATAATACTCAGTATTTCTGAATACATATCTCAGAAATAAATGAGCACAGAATCTTTGCATCGTTGGTGTTAGGAAAGCATAATTAGGGCAACTTTAAGAAAAGGTGACCTACTGCTTTCCTTATATTGATCACAGTATGGATTTGGCTATGTATCACACAACTTCTTTCTCTTCCTTCACTCTTTGTGACCCTCTTTCCAGATCTGTTGCCAGAAACAGATCCAGAAGCATACATGCTAAGGTTTTCAAAGTAAGTAAAAATGTGTGATATGAGGACTTTCAACAGCAAACTACAAGTACGATGTTTTAGTGCTCACTACATTCTGTGCCTGAACATTTGTTCCTAAGGAGCCAATAATAAAGTCATGTCATTGTAAGAAATTACCAAAGTGCAAGAATGAAAGACATCTTGTAAAATTATGTAGGCCATCTTATGTCGGTGAGACCAAAAAATGGTAGACCAAAAGTTGCTGCACCCAGACCATTCTTGGAGGATACTTGTCTAACCTATCATCTGTAACTCAATGCAGTCACCCCAAGCAGGCTTGAAAACCTGTTGCCTTGCTAGAGTTTCCTTGGAATTAGAACACTTGTCCTAAATTTTAGCCTGTTTATCATGCTTTAAATTCAGCTAATCACTATTTATCTTACTCACAAGTAGTCACATGAGTAAGTATGATACTTACGCTCTCATTAATATCCTTTAATGTACCAGAGGAGGGTTCACACAAGTTACTGGCACTCCTTTACTCTAGATGGTGTCCTCCTAGAACATGTCTTCAAAGCTTCTGCTCGTAAAATGTTGACAAAATGAGCAGAAGTTTTGAAAACATGCTCCAGGTGGTGGAGACTGAAGGACAGGTTTAGGGTAAATGTTCTCTGAACTTTTTTACAATATATTTATATTTTGTGGTGGTGCCCAAAACACAATTTGAGACTCCAGGTGAAACTTAGCAGCTAGAAGGAAGAATTAGTCATGACCTACATGAGACATGCCTATCATATATACTTTAATAACTTTTGACCTTTGTGTAATAACGTAAAATTATTGACTCAGTTTGTGGTTCAATGTAATCCACAGACCTTTTTTCTTCAGCTTTGTTGCCTTCACATTAATTCCTCATTTTTTTTTTATTTTTTTTTTTCAGATTTATACATTCTAATCATAGGATTTTCCCTATTACTTAACTTTGTCTTGTTGATTTCAAACTTACCCAAAATTTCAAATTCAGATTTTTATTCTCCATACTGCTTGCTAACCCTTATTAGATTTCAGTCACCTGTAGACTTAACTCTCTAATTTTAAGGTTTATCTGTTTGTGTCACAATAGTATTATCTGTACACATGAGTATTCAGCAAGTCACCTCTTCTGGTATTCAGAATAAATAAATATAGACTTTCATATTTTAATAATTATCCTCTTAGGTGGATAAATATCAAATATCCACGACCCTGTTTATGGAATACCCTAATACCTCAAGTAAGTAAGTCTATCTGAAAATAATTAATACCTGGATTTGACCAGGAAACAGAACCTCAGTCTTGCTCCACTCATCTCTCTCCCATGTCTCCTGTAACACTGCTGCAGTTCTTTTCCCTACCTTTGTGTCTCAATTTTGTGCTACTTTGCTAGGTAACTACCTTTCAACCATTGCTACCTTTTATCCTGATTATCCTCAAATCTGCCTCAAAGATCCTTCACTTGGCTGGTACCCTCACATGTTACACTTTGTTGTTGGTTAACTCTCTCCTATCTCCCCAATCATCTAATCTATGAAAAAAAAAATAATAATAATAATGCATTTGACATTTCCTTCCAGAGGGCCAGAGGTGTTAGGAAGCTGGAAAGGGGCAGCAGCAGCAAACTGTAAAGAGCAGAACCCTGCTACTCAACTCAGGCACATCCTAGCCCTGGGCTGGCAAAGGACCTTTTACTCCTGGCCCTCCGGGCTTCTACCTCACTTGCTCTGCATCTTGAAATGGCAAAGTAACCTGTCTGCATTGACAGGAAGGGATCAGAAGTGCTCCAGCACCAAGGATCCAGCATGAACCTCCCTTGCTCACTCTGCTTCCAGCTGTTAAAGATTAGGAGCTTAGTGAAAGGGCAGGAGAAAGCCCCCTTACCTAGCATGAGTTTTGAAGTGTTATACTAGGGAATGGTTAAGGAGATGATAACTATGTGCTGAGGTGGCCTAGAAGGAGACTAGTTGTCTTTCTTTCTTCTGGGAAAAAAAAAAAAAAAAAAAAAAAAAGGACTGAGAGGTCTCATATCCACATACAGACCCAAACACCTTTTCCACGTGCTGCAGTGGGGGCATATCAGAAGATCCAATGCAGCTCTGGAAGCTGTTTATCAGAACTAGCTAATAAACTAAACATCTGAACTAATAAACCCTGATGTAATATATGAAAATAATGTTATGTGTCCAGTAATGTGCCTACCTTACTGTATTTTTTCCTTTCTACTGTGTCTAACAAAGAATGGATATATATTAACTTAGTCATATGTTCTTTCAGACTTTAGTAGTCTCATTAGCTTAGATAAGCCTTTTATTATTACAATATTGTGCATTCAGGCATCTTAGCGAAGATTTAAGTTCTTGAAGAAACACACAGCTTAAAAGAGACCTTGAATGAAAACACCAAAGATTCAGAAAATTCACATTCAAACACATATCTGAGTTTTTAAGTATCATATGTTGAGTTAAGTGCTTGGCCTTCAACTCTTTGGGAGTGCAAATGAGAATCTGCCTAAAAACATTCCAGCTCTTACTGCTATGTACTTTTAAACCAACAGCTGGCAATGCCACCATATTGTCACCATGCTGCATAAGCAAAACTATAACACTGTTCTATTTTTTAGTGTTAAAACTAAGAGAAACTGCTGATACAACATGAATGATCATTAAATATATAATAAAGTATGTAAACAACAGAAGTGATTATTTTAGTGATGTATCTAGAAATAACATTGACATGTAAATTGTGAGCACCATCCTGCAAGGATTCACATGTATTTCACATGAATAATTCACCAAATATAACATGAATTAAGTATGAGAGAAAAACTTTGCAAGGCTGAAACCTAATTACAAATTTTAGCAACAAATTAATATTGCAATTTTAATTAGCAAAGATGTTTTAGTTTTGAGGAGTACGTTGAGAGTCAACATAGTGTTATTCTGTTGGCAGGAAATCATATGCTTTTAATCTACAGCTTCAGTGCACAGGAGGGAAGGGATGCCATCCAGAGGAACCTGTGAGGTTTTGAGGCTTGAGAGGTGGTCCTGTGAGAACTTTACACAGTTCATCAAGGTCAATCCAAGGCCCTACACCTGGGTAAGAGCAATGCCAAGCACAAATACAGGCTGGGTGGAGAATGGATTGAAAGCAGCTCTGAGAAGAAGGACCTGTGGTTGTTGGTTAATGAGAAGTTCAACATGAGACAGCAGTGTGTGCTTGCAGCCCAGAAAGCGAACTGTGCCCTGGGCTGCATTAAAAGCAACGTGGCCAGCAGCAGGGAGAGGGAGGTGATTCTTCCCCTCTGCTCTCATAGGACCCCGCCTGGAGTAATGTGTTCAGCTTTGGGGAAACATGTAAGTATTAGAATGAGTCCAGAGGAGGGCTCCAAAGATGATCAAGGGGCTGTAGCACCTCTCCTGTGAAGACAGGCTGAGGGAGTTGTGGTTGTTCAGCCTGGAGAAGAGAAAGCTCTGGGGAGACCTTACAGTGGCCTTCCAGTACATAAAGGGGGCCTACAGGAAAGCTGTCAGGGAGAGACTCTTTGTCAGGGGGTGGAATGACAGGCCAAGGGGGAATGGCTTTAAACTAAAAGAGGGTAGGTTTAGATTAGATATTAAGAAGAAATTCTTTACTCTGAGGGTGGTGGGGTCCTGGAACAGGTTGCCCAGAGAAGCTGTGGATGCCCCATCTCTGGAGGTGTTCAAGGCCAGGCTGGATGGGGCTTTGGGCAACCTCGTCTAGTGGGAGGTGTCTCTGCCCAGGGCAGGGGGAAAGAGCTGGGCAATCTTTAAGTTCCCCTCAAACCCATACCATTCTGTGATTCTGTGATTCTATGATTCTATCATTCTATGAATAGTGCCTTTCTACAAGTAATTAATTTCCTGTTAAAATGCAACATTTTGCAGCTACACTTCAAAACAAATACATGTTCAGTTTCTGTCTAGGTGGGGGAGTGTTTTGAAATATCTACAAGCGTTTTTCAAACAAAATACTTACACATATTATCTTAAGATTCAGGTGGAACATCAAGAAGACACAGATGTTATCCAGGCAGAAACCGATTCAAAATTCTTGGTGTATGATAGAATCTTATTTACACTCAGCTTATTTAAAAAAAAAAAAAAAAAAAAAGTGTAATTTCAAAAAGCCACAGAACAGGTGAGGCTGTCTGGCCTCTGGAGGCCGGGCCCATCTTCAGGTGGCTTTTGAAGGCCTCCAAGGAGGAGACCCCATAGCCTCTCTGGGCAGCCTGTGCCAGGGCTCCATCACCCAGCACAGGAGCACTGCCTGGTGCTCAGGGGAAGCCTCCTGTGGGCCTGTTTGTGCCCAGGGCCTCTGGTCCTGGCACTGGGCATCACTGAAGAGAACCTGGATCTGTCTTCTTTGCACCCTTCCTTCAGGTGTTTATAGATATTGAAGAGATTCCCCTTAGCTTCCTCTTCTCCAGGCTGAAGATTCCCAGCTCTCTTAGCCTTTCCTCATAGGAGAGGTGCTCCAGTCCTTTCATCTTCATAATTGTCATCTTGAATTTGTAAAAGTGTTTTCCTACTTTTCACATTTAGCTTTTTTTTTTTTTTAAGCAATAAATACTTTAGATTCAAAAACTTAATTTAACTGGGAACATCTCAACAAACACTAAACAAAAGATATAAAGTGTTTCAAAGTTTTTAAATAACATTTTAAAATGTTTAACATCCTTCAGAAAAACTCTGAAAATAGCTGTGAATATTTATACAAGAAAAAGAGCTGATTAGAGTGAATAAATCTGTATACTATTTCTGTAGAATAGAAATAGTTGCAGTTCCAGAACAAATGAGATAAGCTAGAGCCTGGCCAATACATATTAGTGAACAAACTGATGGCAAAACACACCATACTGTATCTTTACAGTGCAACTGTAGCCATCCAGTTTTTCCTTGTATGAAAAAAAAAAAAAATAAGGTAAAATATGCAAGTCTTATCTGTGGATAGAAAAGATACGGGAACAGTGATATTCAACATCTTTCAATAACATATTCTTTTGGCTGAAAACTACTTTTCTGAAATAAAGTTTTTTACCCTTTCTTCTGTTTCTCAGTTTTCACAAATTGATGTCTTTTTATCAATAGCAAAAAGTCATTAATCTGAGTGATGCTAATGTACAATTTGAATTTAAGATGAAAAGTAAAAAATAAAACAAACAAAACAGAACAAAAAAGCAGTCCACTTGAAAGCAAAAATGAATCTGAAAAAACTTCCTAAAATTTTCTTTTTGACCAGAAAGACAAAAAATGCTGAGCTATTTAAGAATGATCTTAAGGTTTCTTTAAAGTTGTTTGAGTTTTAATTCCTTTAAGCTCAAAGTATGCCTCATTTTTATATAAATTATGCTATGGGGAGTAAGTACATTACCCCCAGAATGATTACCTTATGGTCCGTTATTTTCACTTGATACATGAAGCAGTTGTTACTTGCTGAACCAATGGTAGGCGGGGGTTTCCAGTGAATTTTAATACTTCTGTTTTCCAGGGAAACCGAGACGTTGATCGGCGGGTTGAGTTTCTCTGAAAATAAGCACAGAAATTTCTTCTGTACCTCATGTTGTTTCTCATATTTCTGCTGATGCAAAACAACAACAACAGAGTACATTGGTCTTTATAATAGACAACTGCCTGTTTGAACTGGAGTTTCCCACAGGCAGAGCAAGCACTCAGTGAACAAGATGATTTCTTTAAAAGTGCTGCTCACTAAGTGGTATCCATTTGTGCCTCAAAATAAAGGGAAGCAGTTTTTTTCTCATATAACTTTCCAGGCAGGAGGAGCAGGCCCTTTGTGTTCACTGAGTTTTGGAGGGTGTCGAGAAGTCCTCAGAGTAGGCTTTAGGTGGTTTAGGATTATTTCCACCGTGTCTTGTGGGATACCCTATGTCTGTCTATGAGTCCAGTGGTTTAACTTCGAAAAAGTGGAGTTTCAATTCTCACTGACGTGTAGCAGCTTCTGGCAAATATTATTCACTTTATGAGTTCTGCTACACATGCTTAAAACATCTATTTCTTTTTCAAATGAGCACATGAGCACTTGCTATGGAGCAAATGTTTTCCTTTGGAGCAAGACAGGCTTAGATATAAACAATAAAAGAATAATTCCCCACCCCACCACATCTCATCATGAACTGCAAGGCATGCGGAGGCCATGTGTTCTGTGCAGGGAAGGTGGGCAGGGTTGGTAGCAAGGGATGTTTCACTTCCACGGATTTTAGCATTTGGTTTAGATAACCAATTTCTAGCATGGCAAGTGCTGGGGCACTGATCTCAGTCAGGTACAGGTGTGTGCTGGAGTGCTCGAGCAGCATGACCCCTCTGCAGTTGCTGTTGCATTGCCACAAAGGGAGGAACCACAGCTGCAGTCCTCCAAAAAAGCTCTCCCAGAAGAGGCATGTATTCACCACAGGGCTGTGGGGACAGAGATGGTAAGGCCTGAGACTGGCATGGCTGCAGCATGGCACTAAGAAGACAGAGACGGAGAAGGAGAGAGGGAGAGTGGCAACATTGCTTCTCCATAAAGCAGCTGCATGTGTTTTCCTGCAGTTGCAGCTGCATGAACCTCTACAACAGTTTGTATCATGTTAAGGTTTCCTGTTTGGCTTTTCTTTTTTGTTCCCTATCTTGAGAAGTCTCCTCTCTGAGTAATGAGCCCGAGGCAGGCTCCACAAAGTTAGCAAAAGCTTCTTTCGCAACCTCAGGCTTGTAAAGTTGTTCTCTTCCGCCTGCCCCTGAAACTGACCCTATTGGCACAGACCAGCTGTGAGGGTCGAGGTGTACCCCGGCCATGAAAGATGAGGAAGGTGAACAGCAGCTATTTTGTGTTTGGCCGTGGTAAAAACATGTTTCCACCTCTGAGATATTATTTCCAGAGCATCTCACCCTGCTGTGAGTGTACCAAGAGTAGGAATGCAACCCTAAAGAGGGAAATTTCTTCAGCCACATGGGCAGCTAGGGCTGAGTTATCTTGGGCTGTGTACAGCACAGGGCAAGCACGAGTCCTGCTTAGTCAGGAAGCGTGTCATGGTATGTGACAAGAACTGGGCTTGCAAGGGCTGGCACCCCACAGCACCTCCAGGACAAAGTTGGCTGAAGCCCAGTGGGGTGTGCTCCAGCTGAAGAAGGGGAGCCAAGCACAAAAGAGCCTTTCTGATGAGTGTGGTACAAAGGGTGCAACTGGCTTCTCAGGGGGAGAGGGCAGCACTGACTTGCAACACTAGCCTTGCAAGGGCAATGCCATGATTTGTAATGTGTGGAAAAGCATCACCTGCAAACACCCTTGGGGTTGCTGCACGCTACCAAACTTTGGCAATGGATTTTAGGAACAAGGCAGATTTGTGCTCTACACTGGGACAGGAGGGGAAGCTGTTGGCTGAACCAGCTGTGGCTGGCATGCAGCCATGCTTATGACTCAATGGAAATGTCAGGATGGGCTGGGAGGAAGTGCTGGTGGCCTAGCCTCAGCAAAAGGGAGGCAGTGATAAAGCTCTAAACAGGAGGGAGGAGATTTTAATGCAGACAGTTTGGAAGTGAGCTCCTCCCAGTTCAGCTATGAAACACCTAACACAGTGTCCTGCAGATTTATTTTTTTTTTTTTTTTTGGGGGGGGGGAAGAACTTACATGTATTTCCTTGAAAATGTGTCGTTGTGCGAAAGCAGAACATATTGCTTTTAGCTGATTCTGACTGCAGTATAATTATTTCGGTAAAACCAATAATTATAAAGTATGAGAACAAAAGAGAATACTGTGTAAGAATAAAAGAGATATAGCTCAGGATAGATTTGATAGTTTTTAATGAGTTTTTGCTTTTATTTGAGTTATCCCCAATTCCCAAGTCACAGGTTTGAAATATGATCAATACTTTCATGATTTAAAGTATTTGAGTCTACAATCTGTGCTAAAACTCAGAAGAATTTCTCACTAATGGGATTAATTCAAACATCATGATGAAGTAAAGAAAAATAAAGTAATCTGATCATTCAGGACTGCCAGTAGTTAAAAATCACTGGCAAAAATAATTTTAACTGAGAAATGCCTTCATAGATAAATAGAAATGTTACTGATATTTGAGAACACTCATATTCTCAGATCAGTTATTAGTGAGACTTTTGTGGGTTTATATTTCTTTTTCTTTATCCCTTTCCTCAGGACTATAAAAGAAAAAATGATAGAAAAGAGAAGAACTGGAGAAAAGCAGAGCTTTTTTTTTTTTTTCAAATTGCATGGAATGAAACCTTTAAAACATTTTCTCACAATATCCTATAATTTTTAAAAGACAATTATAGATAAACAATTGTATTACTTCAAAGGAAAATAAATAAAAGCCTTTGAGCCACAATTACTTTTCTTTAATTTTTGTGTAAAATTCTCAGAGATATAAATGCATAGCAAGTTAGAAATAATATTTGGATTTTTCACACTTCCCTCTTTCATTTCTTTGCTTCAAGACCAACAAAATAATTAATAAATGAACTTTTCATAACTGGCAATAATGGACAATACTTACCTATTTTCTGAGGTAGAAGAGCTTTGTAATAAGAAAGTCCTCTTGAATTATTTTTCAGATCTGTTACAGATATATTTAATTTGATTTTTCTTGATGGCTGGAAATATATTCCTTTCATGTGGCATCCAATATTTTTCTTCCTTGCATTTTGTATATATTGCTGGCATTCAAAATATTTTCCTGTCTGTCTGTCGGGAGAAAATATGAGTGTTGTAGATAAAGTTACAACAGACCTTAGACAAGGTATAATAGACTTGCGTTAAGCAAATAAACAAAACAAAACAAACAAAAAACCAGTTTGATACTTATTTTGCACAAGATCTTTACCTGTATGAAAAAAAAATCTGGATATCGGCAGGAGCTTCTGCTTTAACATGCCAGGTGCAATTGAAGAAAGAAATATTATATATGATACATGAAAGATTCTGAATATATACTGAAACAAAGAAATCAGAAAAAAAAATAAGTGAAAATATGATGTTTATTTTATATGGATTTTCTAATAACAACATGATGGATGCCTTTACAAACCCATCAGATATCCTTATTTCTGGAGGATAACTGGTGGATGAGAACAAATGGATCTTTCAGCTTTTGAGGATATGATAACGGAGAAGCACTTCTGCTACCACCAAAAATACAGTTAAACGTAGTTAATAAAGTTAAAGATAAAAAGATAATTAAAAAAAAAAAAAAATATCTGGAATACTAGCTGAAGATCTCTACTCTTTTAAGTTTTCCTGAAGCCGGGTAATACAGAAAGCAATCTCAACAGACATAGGATCTGTCAGGGAAGATGGAGAGAGTGCTCGGGTTGTTCTGACATCTCATGCAGTGGGGCTAGAGTTTTCTGAATCTGAACATGTCTAAAATAATTCCATAATATTTCAAGATGCTATGAGTCATTTTTTATATCCATACCAAAAAAATGTCATAAATGAGGTTTTAGAAGCAATATGACTCCAAGACAGAATATTATCATGAGTGCTTTTATGTCTTAACAACATGCAAGAAATAACAGACCTGGAGGAGCCTTGTAAGTACATTCTGTCCAGACACTCTCCTTAATTAGCTCTTCAGTTTCTTTTGCAAAAAGCTGTGTTTTAACTTTAGCGTTAAAACCAGAATGTAACTCAAGACGTATTATCTTTTTCTTTTCCTGTAGTCTTTCCTAAGAAGGGAAGGACAGACAATACTAAGTACTGAAAGGAAAATGATGCAAATTCAGTTACCAAATGTGTGATTTCACTTTAAACTGTGTGTAACTGTGGAACTTACTTTCCTTTCATAAGAGGTATTGAAGAATGTGTAACTCAAAATATACTTCACACTGTACTTCTTTGTCTCTTCTTCTGTCAGGTTATTGTTCCAGGACAGAATAACTCTGGAATCATATTTGGTAATCTGCAGATCATTATGTAGCCCAAGTTCATCTGCAATTATAATGACATTACACAGTGGAAGACCTTCCCCCAACTGCATAGACAAAGGATTTTACTTCCAGTAAGGCTTGCACATTCATCAGATCCCCGAGAGCTCTGTTCTCACATGGAGCAGGTTGTCATATTCAGTAATGTGACTTTAACGTGAGATTTACATTTACTTATCTATAGCTCCCAAAATGTCAGGTGATTCACTTTTAACTATCCTGGACAATTTCCTATGGGTTTGGTCTCTATGTATATCTACTGGCTGTAGAAAGAGCCTCGAAAAGAAGTTCTAATCAGACATCTGGGATGATTAACATAGGATGAACTGTTACTGAATATTTTACTTACCCACTACGTCTGGTTGTCCATTTGCCAGGCCAGTGGAAAACAGTGTTTTATATTGTAATAAAGTTAGTATCAGCACGACAGGAACAAATGTAATATGTGCCATAGCAAATGCTTTGGGCCACAGGTCTGCAGAAATTGAGACTCTCTAGTTGCAAGTTTGGCTGGAAAAACTCTTAGAACATGATGTTTTCATTTTGCATCTGTGAAATAATATGAAACAGTAACTTAACCACTTAAATAATGTCCAAAATATAGGAAGTAAGTATGAATTAACTCATTGTCAATGGGTCTTGTTGGTCCGTGTCTTCTATTATCAGGATGTTTGTATTTAAACCTAGTCTTTAACTGTGTGCCAGGGCCAAGGATGATGCATGTGCCATACTGAGCTGGTTTTGAATTGGGGCGCTGCTTAATTTGCATGGAAAGATCACAGAAATGATGCTACTGATAGTGCCTGGTAGCAGACAGCTTGGGTGGGAATCATCCGAGATAACTTTAGATGGTTACAGAAACATCAGCGCTATCTGTGGGAGTCCTCTAGCCTCTAGTGGCAGTAGAGCAACTGTCACTTCTAGGTTGTGATTCACATTACCTGTTTTAGGTATCTACTTTAGGATAAAATGAACGGTAACTATCTGAGGAGAAGATAAATGAATCCTGCCATTTTCAAAAGTGAGTATCAGCAAGAATATGCCACATTTACAAACTTTGGGATAGAGTGAGCAAACAGATAACACAGTGGTCGAAGTTGTTTTTAGAAAGATATACACATTGATGCTTCTCTGATGGCTGACTGTTCATTCAAAGGCAGTTCTCTTGCTGTAAGATGACCTCTCAAACAGTTCTCCACAGAATTAATAAGCCTCTGTGTTCTGTGCTTTTCACTCAACAACTACCAATTACCATGGCTTTTAATGTTTTCAGTACTAAATCCACACTCATGCATGCTTTTGTTTTATCCAGGGATCAGCAAAAAGACCTCTGGAGCTGCTGTCTAAAAGGAGGCAATGGCCATGTATAGGAAAATGTGGTCAGCACACCCCAAAAAAGTTTACAATAAGGTTACCTGGGGAAAAAAAAAAATATATATATATATATATATATATGCATATACTCATGCACATATGCATATATTTATAAAGTTATTTTGGTGCAATGCAGTGAGCAAGAGGTCATTTAATGAGTTGTAGAGTTCTCAGGTTGACGTTTATGAAGCGCTATGAAAAATCATGACAAAATGCTTTAAAATAGAGATTCCCCCACCTGGTTCTCTCTGGTATTTGTCTCAGCTATGGCAGCAGCAACAGCTGCAGTGTGTGTGCAAAATCAGGGCATTTGACCATGTGCACAGCAAATAAAAAAGTATTTTTCTCTACTTGGTGTGCCTGGGAAATAAGACAGTTCTGATTGCCCAGAGAGGGAAAGGATAAGCTATGCTTGCCCTTGCTGCTCTTTAATGATACCCTTGGAATGGTATTGTTTGTAGCAAGAGTAAAAGTCAGGGAAAATGTAAAATGAAAACAAGGTTTCATGGGTTTATAACCCAACATGTAGTGGTTATAAAGATCTTATCCATTCCCATGGTGAAGCCACGAAAAGTAGTCTTAGGAACATGTATGTATTTAAATCAGTAGAAAGGGAAAAATGAGGGTGGAAAACACTAAACAAGTTAAAACTGAAATATTTGTAGCTGTCAGTAACATGACAATTATGGAAAACACAACTGACGAGGGACTTAAAATAGTCCCCCTATTTTGTCCCCTAAAGGGAACAAAATAAATTTTAAAATAACAAATACTTCCAGTGTTAGAAACAAAAATAGAAATCATCTGTGTGGCAATATAACTGACTGCATTCAAATGGAGAGAGAAAACACAGGGCAGAGAAAAGATTTTAAAAGTCTGAATAAACTTAGGAAAAAAAAAAAAAAAAGACAGTTTGAGTCAATGAAAGACATTTCAGGAGAGATCACTGCTGTTTCCCAAAGGCGGCTTGTTCCTAGGAGTACCTTTTGTACAGCACTGAAGGCAATCTCTATTCAGTGCATAATGAACTCCTGCACCTTGAAGCCACAGGAAGTGTGATGGCAGACAATATCAGCAGGCTGAGAATAGGACTGGGCAAACTGGCATAAAGCAGGTTTATGACAATGTTTCAAAAAGTATTAGGCATGAAAGTAGCTTCTGACATCTCTAATTTAACAACTGTGAATGCTGGGTTGCAAGAGGTGGCCAAAGTTGTGGAATATATCCCAGTGGTACCTCCTGTTGCCATTGCTGCAGACAGAATAGGAGGTGCACCACTGGGCTGACCCCACAGGACATCTCTTATGTTTATACACAATGCATTAGTCCCCAGAATACAGCAAAGGCAAAACACTGTAAAATAAGAACACCCAAGGTGATCACAAGGAAACAAAAAGCCATCCATATGTAAAAGGCTTTTCGATACCCTACTTGTCAAAGAAAGCATATTTTCATTTATACCACCATAGATGAGCAGAGTATCAGAACATTTTTTCTCAGACATAAGCAGACAGGACTCTGTGCTTGTAGTGTTGTTACAAAGGGCTTTATGTTAGCATATGGTGCCAAAATTTAGTCCATGAGGTGCAAAATAAAATTAATTGCATGATTATTTTTTTTTAAAAAGAACTTTCTAGTCCTTTATTTCTCCCCTGAAGAAACAAATTCTAGTCAAATGTACTTACAGAAAGATTTTAATGGGATAGAAAATACATAAATAATACGAATAATCTAAAAAAAAAAAAAAATCACAAAAAATGGCAGTCTTTTCTAAACAGTAATCTGTAAAAAAAAAAAAATAAATAAAATCACTTATTATGAAAGTATTCTTAATAATTAAATAATGTCACTATGCTTATATGTCTTTGGTTTGTTTGTTTCTTTGGCTTTGTTTTGTTTTGTTTGTCTCCTTGTTTTCACCGTTGAAGTTCAACTATAGCCATTGTGCCTGCTGGTTGCTGCCCAGCAATGCTTTTGTTCTGCAACAGTGGGTGGATGGAGTAATGTAAAGGGGTGGTAAAAAATGAGAAGCTGCCCACAATATAGCAGAACAGCTGTGGAGAACATAGTGATTGTGCAAAACCCACCTGGCAAATCTGGGAAATAGACAGTTAGGGCCAGAAAATTAAAGTAGTGAAACCAATATAAGCAAAACTTAGAGCAGTTACTTTTAGTTTAGGGAAAATGAACTGCTTAATTTTAAGAATTCAAGAGACTAGAGAATTTCCTGAAATGTAGACGTGTGCACTGGCCATGCATCTGAAGAAAGGCATTTCTGAAACCTTTGTGGATCTGATTATGTGACTACTCTTAAATACAAAAGCAATAATAATAGTAATAATAATAATAATAAATGAGGAACATCAATTTTTATATTTTGATTGAGAAAATAATAAAATTGTTCAAAAAGTATTCAATTGCATTTGAAAAAAAAAACTATATTGTGCATAATTTACAGCATAAATTCAGCCATTAAGCAATAAAATCTTGCATTCTTAAACTCAAATCCAATTTACAAAGCAGTTTTAGATAAGGGGCGTCACTAAGACTATGTGTCTTATTAAGACATACATGTATCTAAAACTTACACTTCATTTAAGGCTGAGAATTCATATTTTTCAAAGTCCTTATATGTGATAGTACACAATGTTGATATTGACTGAGGAATAATGACATGGACAACATACAATAAATACATTTTAAATGTCTGGGTAGATAGTTAAAATAGCACTACTATTTACATTTGTTTTTTTCAAAACTTACCTTCTTTTTAATGCATGTTAAATGCAGCATCATTTGGACTGAGACAATGGCAAGGTCAGCACTGGAGAATCACAGAATCACAGAATCAAATGTCTTGATTTAAGACTATATTGAGAAACCGATTCAAGAGACTTCCCTTTTTCTCAATATGCCACCTCAGAAAAGCCCGTTGCCACTGTTGCTTCCTCCTATGGGACCAAAACACACCTCTTAATACATGGAACCTTAGCCAAATTCTTCAAAAATAATTTGAAAAGGCGCACCTCTCTATGACTAACCCCAGTGGTGAGAGATGATGTATTTTTTCTCTATTCATATGAAAGAGAAATATTTCCAAACATTTTAGATATTGCAATGATCTTTGATGTTTTAAGAAAAAGTCAGATTACAGAAGAAATTTAATTGTGTAGGGCAAGTGGTGACTATGAGATCAACAATCCCAAAAGATCATAACCTCCTTGCTGCTGTTCTGTTTTTGTGATGGCTAATATATATCTTTCACTTCACACTAAATTAAAATGAATTTATGGGTTAAAGCTAAAAATAAACAAACTGCCAGACAGATAAAAATCACAGAAATAAAGGAAGAAAAAAGAAAAGAACAAAAGAATCTTAACTTTTGGAAAAGTGTCACTGTTTGTTTTACTCTTCATCTCAGAAACTTTGCCCAGCAGAGCATCTGAAAGTCTCCTCCTCTTACTTGCTTAGTAAATGGGGTTAATTTCCAGTTACTGCTGCCATACTGAAGCGTTGTGAGTGGAGTTCTGGAGAAGCCTTGATAATACATAGGTTTGATATTAACTTTTAATTTTATTCATGCAAGCTGATATTTTGTATTCCAGCTTTCCACCTTAAGCTGAATTTGATGGGAGAATTATGGATATACTCACTCATGTCTTTCTGGGAATGTGGTTTGGAACAGATATGCCTCTTCTTCGTGTTAAGAAGTTTATTAACTGAACATCTGAGACAGTTCAGGTTTTGGTGCAAAGGTTTGAAATGAGCCTAAGGTGTCAAGAATGAATTATTTGCTGCCATTTGCTGCATTTTTTTTTTTTTTTAAAAAAAAAGGACTTCTTAAAAGTCTCATTTCACAACTGCTGAACAGATCAAAGTATATATCTTCTTTCATTTACTAGCTGTTGTGCTCCCCTCCAGACCATAGAAACTGGCTCTTCTGCTTTGCTTTTCTCCTTTTTTAGCTTCCAGACACACAGTGGATAAATGCTGATGGAGGAAGGATCCTATGCCTCCCCTCACTTTGACAGGTTGTTAGGTGAAATGGTAGAAACCTAAAGATTTTCAACTCAGTTGAAGACGTTGGTTGAAGAAGAGTTGAAAAGGCACAAGTTTTAAGGGGTAAGAATATAAACCTTTTTTGTACTTTTTTATCCATGTTAAAAACACAAAAGTTAACATTAAAACAAACAAACAAAACCAGATGTCATACAAAAGCTCAATAGTGTGTTCCAAATTCTTATTATTAAAGCCTCAAAACCTGGTGCTTTGCACCATGTATCTCTTTCTTCTAATAATTTTTTTTGTGCTATGATTACTGTGACTGTTTTGTATCTATATTTTTCTTACACATAGATTTAGTAAGCTAATCTTGGCTTTAAATTAGTAAATAATGTGTTTAGGTCCACGTTATTTTACTTTTTAAATGAGTTAATGTAATTATACACCATTTCTACAATTATTTTTGGTTTTGTAATATAAATAAATTTAATACAAAGAAATAAATTAGTAAATATAATATGCAATTAAATAATATACTATTAAATAATAAAAAATAATATACAATTATTGTATAATTGTTGTAATGTAATTATACGATGTAATTAAAGAACAGCTTTTATTTCTTACGGCTCCTTTGTTTTGGTATGTATCAGACCCAAGCTTAAGACATGTGTATGCAGAAAAAAACTCACATCTATAGAAATGTACTACATAAAGTAAGGTAAATAATTCTTGACGTCTTCAACTAAATTTAGAGGCATGTTGTATTTAAGTGAGAAGAGTGTGACTTAGATTCTCAAATCCAATTATAACAGTAGCAAACCTGGCCACAGGCTTAGTACTTTATTTTTAAAATATAAAAAACTTATTTTCCCATTGTGTCTTCTGCATATTAGTAAAATGTAAGTTTTATCTGGTTTAAATGCAGTTTATACACTGGGTTAATGTCTGCACATTAGTAATTGCAGCACATTGCTTACATCAATAAAACGCTCCCATTGCTGACTTCAGAGAAAACATTCATTACCTAGTAGTAGTATGTTTTCTGGAGTTTTCTCATAATTTAAAGTAATTAAAGATGAAAAGGAAGAAAGCTACACCTCAGGGATTTTTATTTATTTATTTTTAATAATCATACAGTTTTAACTGTATTCAGAAAAGTAAGAATGATGAGAATTCATCACATTTTCCATTTTAGCACACTCTTACACTGAACTCAGTAATAGATTATAAAAGTGTTTCATTGAAACCACATATGTATTTGGGCTGATCAAAATGGCATGTCATATAACTAAAAAAATCCATAAAGCCAATTCACTGAACAGTACGTCACCCAGCATTTAGCTTCCTGTTAAAAGGAATGACTGCTAACTCTCTGTAAAACCAGCAATCTATGTATCTATGTATGTACGTATGATCTATGTATGTATTCAGTAGTTAGCAATCATTTGTTTTGTGGTCATCTGAGCACTGTGCTGAGATAGTTCCAGTAAAGATTCATGTGGCTACAGGATATGGGTTTTCCTTACTCACATTCCCTTAAGTGTTTTATGTTGTATTAGAGCAACTAATGCTTGTAATCATGCTAGGGGCATTTGAGATGCTCTTTAATCCCAGCTCTGTTTACACCAATAGAGGAAGAGGGGAAAATCTCATATTTTTCTTTGCACTGAAGGGAAAATTACATTTCTAAGATTTGTGCCACTGAAAAGGAAATGTTAAACTACAAAGGAATAGTGAGATAAGCTGAAAGGATATCACTAAGATAAAGGGGGTGTCCTGAATGCATATGTTCTTGTTAGCAGAAGGGAATGTTGGCATCACAGGTTTCTACTGCAGTGACTAAAATACAAACCTTTGTGTTTTTAATGCTATTTTGCAGCTAATTTTATGTTTCTGTTTCACATAATAGAGACGGCAACTGTCCATAAGGCCTTCTACACTGAATCTGTGATCTTAAAATGTAATGCTTCTTTTGTTGTCAAATATTTTTATAATGCTTTTCAAAATAGATAGATGAACAGGTATATACAGTAATACGTTAACCAGAGAAAATGATTTCTTGGAGAAGATATCTCTTTGCTTTCCAAAAATTGTCAACTACAGCTAATAGCCATCCATTGACCATAAAAGCAAACTTGATACATTTTTTTTTCTCTCTGTTTTTTCTACATCGGTACAGGTTAATATCTATTACAGTCAAATGCTACATGTAGAGATTTATCAGAGACCAAAGTATGGGTTTGGGATGTGTTCTATGATAAACTGACTTTGCATTAAGGTGGGAATGAGTCTTTTAAAAAAGCATAGCATTATATAGACATGCTTGTTCTCAGCTAATTAGAAAGAAGCAGTGAAAGACTTCAATTAAAAGGCAGTGCTGATGGTATTGCCAGTATCCCCATGGCAGATGCTTAGATTAAATTAGATCAATTCAACACTTACTATAGAATATGCACTACTTTTAATATAGGACCGAAAAAGGAGGGAAATATGGGGAAAAATAATAATAATAATAAAAACAGGCCTAATCTTTTCTGAGTGAGGAACTGAGGTATAGAGAGATTATACACATTTTCCAAATCATACCAGAAATAGCTGAAATATCTAGGAATTTATACTGTTCTGAGATTTCTCTTTTAAAGCTTTTGGACTGCATGGAAAAATTCAAAATACTGATCAGGAGCTGATGTTTCATTACACATATGACATAACTTCTTTCTGGGGTAATGGTCAGGTCAGTGATGAATCACAGTAATTGTGATGAATAACAGCTGTGAGACCAAGGTTTGAAACAGATGATTTATCTTTTAGTGTGAAAACAATGTATATGTATCCTGAATATTTCTAGGAAGAAAGCTTGCTATATTATAAAAGATAAGCTATATTTCATAACCGTGATACTTCTTTCAAGGAAACTGGTAAAACAGAGAAAAAATATAATAAAATTGTAGATGCTTAAGAGTTTATTACTTATTCCCTTATGTATTGTCATCTGATTGCTAATTTGTCTAAATATTCCTGATCAGATATTGCAACATTGACAACAGAAATTGTACTATATATACTTTATCAGCTATAAACTTGAGGTATCAAATTAGATAGAGACTCGTCTCACCTTAAGGTAAACCCATAGTGTCAATCAGATAAATCACACTTTAAACCAAATTGACTAGATCTCCACTAACTACAATTGAAATTCAGACCCTACAGCTATTAAACATGCAATCCCTGCTCTTCCTGTTTAGATTAAACTTTTTGAAATGGACAGATTTTAAAAAGCAATGTTTTAATGAAGTACTGTTATTTTTTCTCCAGGCTTCCTCTACACAATTCATTTAAGAATGTCCTTCAGAATCTTCAGAATAGAATGTCCTTCTATTTTCCTTCCCAGTCAGTGTGCAGAAATAGTCCTGCTTTTATAATATCTTTAGACTTTAAGTCTTAAGACTAAGGACTGACTCTGGCAAAGCTTCTATTTTTTTGCAGATGGCTATTAAAATACTGCTTCCTATTTGGATTCCTGAGGATTTTGTAAAGTGCTGTCTCCTGTATCCTTCACCTGATTCTTTCAAACTCACAAACCAGGGTTTGATAAGAAGCCATCTATTGCTACCTTGTGATGCTCTTTGCCCAGCCAAGAAAGACAGCATATATGTGCAGATGACATTCTCACTGAAGACAAGCATATTGGTGTCCTTTACACAGCCAAAGCTAGAAGGGGAAAAAATCTATCCACTTGCTATAACTATCATTTTTGGAGACTTTTTCACTCTCTCACTGTCATGGCACTCCTCCCCTACCAAACCCTAGCCACCCAAGACCACAATAGTGAAGAGCAGCATTTACCACTCAGCTGAAAGAAAATTGACTTGTTGCCAAGCACGCTGATGATATAAAATCCACCAGAAACAATCAGAGGGAAAAAGTCTTATTTGTCCACCAATCACAAGCAGTTTTTTTTTTTTATGTTTTTATTTTTTTGGTGAAATAACTTCTGCTAATCCCAGTATAAAAACACTCAAATTCATTGCAACTCCAACAAAATCATTGGCATTTATTTCACCTAGGCAGATTTTGAAAAAAATCGTTCTGCATTAGAGAACGATAAGTTTCTATATCACCTGTACAGAACTTTTATATACTGGTCAACATTGATATTGTGCCTGCTCACATTCTTAGCTCCTTATTACTAATCTAGAACTCACTCTTACATTCTTATTGTCTTTCAGTCTACTATCAGTGAGAATGCACTGAGCAAGAATCATAGAATCATTAAGCTTGGAAAGGACCTCCAAGATCATCTGGTCCAACCATCACCCTACCACCAATGTCACCCACTAAACCATGTCCCTAAGTGCCACATCCAATATTTCCTTGAACACCACCAGGGACGGTGATGCTACCACTTCCCTGGGCAACCTGTTCCAATGCTTGACTGCTCTTTCTGAGAAGAAATGTCTCCTGATTTCCTACCTGAACCTCCCCTGGTGCAACTTGAGGCCATTACGTCTAGTCCTATCACTAGTTATCTGTGAGAAGAGGCTGACCCCCAGCTCCCCACACCTTCCTTTCAGGCAGCTGTAGAGAGCAATAAGGTCTCCCCTGAGCCTCCTCTTCTCCAGACTAAACAACCCCCATTCCCTCAGCCACTCCTGACAGGACTTGTGTTCCAGACCCTTCACCAGCTCCGTAGTCCTTCTCTGAATATGTTCCAGGATGGCCTCGATGTCCTTCTTGTAGTGAGGGGCCCAAAACTGAACACAGTACTCGAGATGTGGCCTCACCAGAGCTGACTACAGTGGAACGATCACCTCCCTGGTCCTGCTGGCTGCCCTATTCCTGATACAAGCCAGGATGCTGTTGACCCTCTTGGCCACCTGGGCGCACTGCCAGAAATCACACTGAAACCTGCACTTGCTGGTAATGAAAATTCAGAAGCATTTCAGGAACCAAGCATAGACTTTGAGCAGCTGTCCTATGTGCTCTTTGAAACAATTCCATTATCACCCAAAATACTGAGCTATCTGTGGGCACATAGAAAAAAAAAAAAAAAAAAAAAAAAAAGGAAAAAAAAGGTATTATTTGTGATGAAACCAGATGATGCTAAACATTCAACAGATCAGATTTATTCTAAATTTTAGAAAGTTTTGTAAGAAGAGCCTTCTGAAATTAACACATTTGCCTTGAAAATAATTCGAGATTAGGTGGAGTTTTTCTGTCATTTTTTTAGTTTATTTGTTTGTTTTCACCTTCCCGATAGAGGATAATTTACTTTCCATACTTTCCAGACTAAACATTGATATTTTGCTTAAGAGTTACTGGGAAAAAAAAAGTTCTGACTTCATCAACAAAGAGGATGTGACTTCCTGGGGGAAAGAAAGAAAGAAAGAAAGAAAGAAAGAAAGAAAGAAAGAAAGAAAGAAAGAAAGAAAGAAAGAAAGAAAGAAAGAAAGAAAGAAAGAAAGAAAGGAAAGAAAGAAAGAAAGAAAGAAGAAAGAAAAAAGAAAGAAAGAAAGAAAGAACAGAAGGGAGGAAGAAGGAAGGAAGGAAGTGAAGGAAGGAAGGAAGGAAGGAAGGAGGAAGGAAGGAAGGAAGGAAGGAAGGAAGGAAGGAAGGAAGGAAGGAAGGAAGGAAGGAAGGAAGGAAGGAAGGAAGGAAGGAAGAGGATGAAAGTATTTTTTAAAAGGAATAACTTTAACACCTACCTTTGGCAGAGGTTCACACCTGTGGCAATCCATGTACAATTCACTCCTTCAGTCTTACAAGTAAGGTACATTCAACTCTAATGAAGAGGATCTAATATATGTCTCTCTACTGTGTTATTTCCAACTGTGAAGCTTTGGTAATTTCCATTTAGCATGTGGGAGAGTCCCAGTAAGACATGTTTCTCATTCTGAAGCTTTCCTATTCCATAGCTTCTGTAGATTTGTCAAGGCTGTAACTTCCACTTTGGACTAATTATTTCCAAATTCTTTCCTGCACTCAGTCCAGTGTTACTATCCCTTTTCTATAGATCAGTTTACTCATCTCCTTATGTGTTACCAGATCAGCTAACTCTTAAGTTAGAGTTGCTCCTAGGCACTACCTCAGTTTTTAATCCTTTCTAGTACACTTCTTCATGCAAGCAGTACCAACTCTCTTGACGCAAGAGAACGAAGTATTTTCCCAGATGAGTCAGGGTTGTCATCGCTCAAACTGCTCACTGCTTTCAGCTGAGTCATATTCATTTCACCACTTCCATTTTGCTTTATCTGACAAGTATAAGTGGCTAAACATTTTCTTCCTTTTATGCATCTGTTGCTTAGTTTAACAAAATTTTATTTCTGAAGAATCACCTCAAGTGTTCCAGTGCTGGGAAAAAAAAAAAAAAGAGGAAGATGGAATAAACATTGTTCAAACAAAATAGAGTTAGCTAGTATTTGTAGCAGGTAACCACCCCACTGAAACTACCAGTACTAGTATCAGATGACAAGACATTTGTGGCACTGTGCAAAGATCTATCTCCACATCAGGAGTTTAAGATTCACCTCCATTTCTTAGGTATCTAAGATCCCTAAGTCTGTGGTCATTATCTTGGGTTCCCCTCATAGAGAAAACAGAAACAAACTTGTTGTGATTTATGTATCTGTAATAGGGTTAATCTCATCCCATCAAGCAGAGCAAATGAATTATCATCTGGGCATGCTCCTTTAAAGCCCTTTTGGGTGAGACTCTGGATCATAATAATGATAATTTTCAGAGGGTTAACATTAGAGATAAACCTCAACCTATGCATTTGGAATTACTTTTCTATTAAAAATTGGCCAAATTATTCCTATTAGGAACTCAGCTTTGGAAAAATAGCCCCATACTTGAACCAAAGCATCTTTTCCATGCATCATATGAAGACTATTCATATCTCCATCTTCTCCTGAAATTGCTAGGAACTTATCTTTACTGGGTCATTAATTCTGGTAAGTTCATAATCTTACTGTTTAAGTTAAGGAGAAGAAAATGTTCCTGCATACTCTGACCTGTAACTATTTTTCTAGTGAGAAAGACTACGCAGTTACACATCTGAGAATGTGCTGTTGCAGAAGAGGAATTCTTCTCAGAGTATGTGGTGTACAGAAATACTCTTTTTCAGCTTTATTTCATTCTTTTGATTGTTTTAGGAAGAAAAAGGGAAAAACAGAGTTGCTGAGAGACTACCCACATTTAGGTGGAAAGGGTACTAATAAATACTTAGTGTTTTAAAAAGACTTGAAAGAAGAAAAGGCAAGCAGGATTGGCTTGGGTAGTATATTATGAACTTTAGCAACAAAACAATGAATGAATGAGAACAAATCTACTTTAAGGAAAAACCTCACTAGAAATTAATGATCAGAATATGATAAGCCCAAACTTACAAAGAACTCCATAAAGGCAAAGGAAGAACGTCATTAGTTAACTTCCTCAAAAAAAAATTTTTTTTTTTTTCAAAAAAAATCAAGAGTAGCCCAGACTGGAAACCTGAGCACAATGCTCTGTGAGTAAGAGTATAGTAGTGAGTAAACAGAAAAGAAACTGAGAAAAAAGAAACTGAGAAACAGAAAAGATACTGAGCTGAAGGACTGTTACCATGGTAATGATAAACTCCCAGCCAACCCCAAAGTGCTGCTCTGTCTGGATGCATATAAGTCTATGAGGCACAGCGTTGTTCATCCCAGGGAACTCAAAGAGCCAGCTGATGCCTTCACAAGATCTCTCTCAATTATTTTTCAATAGTCTTGGGAATCTGGAGAAGTCTCAGCCAAGTAGAAGATGGCAAAGATCATTCCAATTTCAAGAAGGACAAGAAAGAAGACCCTAGTAATAACCAGCCTGTCAGTGTCACTTCCGTGCCTGGTAAAATTATGCAGAAGATTATTCTGGAGGTTATTGAGAAACACCTGAATCAATGCAGTCATTGATCACAACCAACAGTTTCACGAAGGAAAAGTCCTGCTTAATTTTCTTTTATGACAAGGTTACCCATCTAGCTGATTGATTGAAGCCATCTGATGTCATCTTTTTGGATTTCAATAAAGCCTTTGATAATTTTTCTTGGAGTATCCTTCCAGCAGAGAGCATAGAGTCCAGCATAGAGCTAGGTAAACATGTAATATGATGGGAGAACAAATAGCTGATGGCTTGGGCTCACTGCACCTTCAAAGACAAATTCATTTTGAATTCAATAAATGTTTTATTTTGTTTTTACATTGGAGGTATTTAGATGTGCACAAATCAGGTCCATCTGTTGTTATTGTCAATGAAAAACTACACTTTGACAAGAAAACATTTCATTCACCTCATTTGATTCACCCAGAACTCATCCATTGTTCATGAAGTGAGCAGACAGCACCAAAACTAAGGTGTAGATTGCAATAATATGGAGTTTTAGTCTATAGTCCAGAAATGAATCCCATCCTTGATGTCTCATTTAACCTTCACTGTATGAATGAACTTTAAAAAATGACTGTAAGCAAAAGCATTGTTTACTCTGGTCCATAAGCCTACCTGCAAATGCAAATCAATGCAAATGCAGCACTGATCTGCTTTTCATCAGTATATAAAATCTGTTAGCAGAACTTCTATTTGGGTATATTTTGATTTAAAACATTAATTCTGGTAAAGTAAAATAATAAAATAAAATAAAATAAAATAAAATAAAATAAAATAAAATAAAATAAAATAAAATAAAATAAAATAAAATAAAATAAAATAAAATAAGAAATAAAGTTCAAGACTGGAATTTATCAATTTCTGTAACTAAAAATCTTTGTCTAAAGTATGTTAAGTTTTCTGCTTTTTAAGCAATTTTGTGTACATTGGGAAAAAGAAGATAAGATAAATTGACACCATATCAAATATTCAGTTTGGATTTCCTGATGAAACAATCCAACAAAGAATCCTAGTAAGTTCTGCAATGAATATAATAAGGATGTAATTTATTTTTAAATATTAATTGGATTGTACATGAATAAACATTAGTCCAGTAAAAGAGCTTTTATTTGGTACAAGGTTCTGGTCTACAGTATAGGCTTCCATTCCACCTAGAGATCTCTTTTCTTACCATGATGTCTGCAAAGCTACAACTTTAAATATTTCCATATTTGATTGCTTAGGTATACAGTCTGAAGTAATAGCTCAGAAGCATAAGCTTTGGAGCATGTTAGCTAGATTTCAGCCATACAATCACATTTTACATAAGTATGGTTGAAGCTCTGAGAATGGTGTGCATGAACAGAAATACACAACATAAATAAACCTATGTCTTACAATTTAATGCCTGGAGTATCCCAAAGAAGCTACTTACAGAAAAACTTGCACCTTTTCCTTTCTGAAATGAAGGTACATTTTGTCCATTTTTAGGGGTTTGTTTGTTTGAGGGGGAATGGGGATGGGGAGGGTGGATCAGAAAAAAACATACACGAATCAAAGAGAAGAATGACTAAGAAATAACCGAGTGCAATTAAGAAGCAAAATTAAGCCCTATAAAAGCCATATGTGGATTTGATGGTGTACGTAGTGGTGTTTTCCAGGCTGAGAAGTAATCAGCCTTCAAGATCCTGTTACTTGGGAAGATTCTCAAAGTGGCCACATGATGGTAGCCTATGATCAGATACAAGCAAGCATCAACTGCTAAATCACATAAGGAAAGGAAATAGAGTGAAAAATTATTTCTTGTAAACAGAAATCAAAGTAAATCTCTGAACCCGTTGGTACCATAGAGGGAGGAGGTAAGCTATATTTTGGTTTCCAAGCAGTGTAATATCCACAAAAAGTCTTTCAAGTGTACCTATTGGATAGACTTGCATCTAGATATGGTCTGTGTCTGGAGCTTTGTGACATCATAAACAAATTTACAGCTAGTAAGCTTGTCCTTACACTTCTCTTACATGTGAGGTCATCATATCATATCATATATCATATCATATCATATCATATCATATCATATCATAATCAGCTACAATTTCCAGTTTTATTTTAACGTGCAAAACAGGAGTAAAAAGTTTAAACAAATCTCCTTGCTACAGACTCAGAATCTCTTGCGCATTATACAAAAAAAATAGTTTTGGCTGTATGCCATAAGTAAAGGAAAAGAGGGATTTTTCTTTTTCTTTTTTTCTTCTTTTTTTTTTTTATTGGACAGTATCACCCAAATTTATAGGCTGGGGATACCTGGAAGTATTTGCTGTTTTGAACTGATTACAGGTAATAGTTTCTCATTTTTGGAAGGATATGAAAATAGCTTTTAAGCTTATCTACTTTGTGTAAAAAAAAATTAAAAAAAAAAAAAATTCACTGTCCCTGAAGCCATCTTGGGGCCTGGGTAATTATACATGTATAGCACAAATGTGTCCATTTGTAAAATTGAATAATAAAAATAATAATAATAATAATAATAATAAATAAAGTTCTAATCCATACCCATGTTACTAAGCTCATTTTCTTTCTAGGTCTGGTACCTCCAATAAAAGGTGATAAATTTAAAATACATTAAGGCAGAGAAATAAAAATAAAGATGAATAAAGATGACTGAAAGATTGTCTGATTATCAACTTCTTCCTGATCAGCAATGCTCTTTCTTATGCATGCAGTTCTTTAAATTGTTATGTTTCAAATTTAAGGTTAGAAAGCTGGTCATATAAAGCCTCTACAATGATTCTGGTTTTGAAAAGCCTCTACAATGATTCTGGTTTTGAAAAGACCACAGATCAGCCCTAAAAGTCTGTGGTATAATGTGCTGGTCTAATCAGGGATGCTTTTACACTACTCTAACATGCAACTCCCCTCCGTCTCATAAGCAAACCAAATCAATCTTT